CAACTAGTTTGTACCGGTATCCGCGTGCGATGCTTCATGTTTGTTAGTGCAGCAGCGACTTCATCATGGGGAAGCCACACTGCGGTAGGTCACGATGTGATCTACCCGCAGCCGACGATAGGACAAGGTCTTTGTTCATCGCAATTGTCTTCATACCATAATCCTTATAAACTGAGAATAAGCTTCGTGGCAACATAGTAGACTCGCTCGATCTTCTCTGCCTCGTCTCAAGTGATTGGATAGTAGAGAAGTGAGCTATAGTTTATTTTCATGGTGGAAGGGAAGGTGCGAGTGGCTACCTTTTCAGACTAGATGCAGAAACTGCGTTTGAGTACCCAAAGTATTCACAGCCCATTGTGGGTGATAACCTATTCGCGTTGTTCACGCAACGCCAGAGTGCACCTAGGTCCCTCACAGAAGGTGCGGTCGCCCGTGCAGCTTTAGCCGTCAGCACCTTTACCCACACTCATGAATACTGACTTGAATGGGTTCGGTAGGAAGCGGACTTCTGCTGACCACATGGAGAGGCGGCAGAGGTATTGTTGAAGTAGGCCTCAGTAGTCCAGGCTGCTTATCACTGTCCATATCTTCAGATTCTCTGCAAATAGGGCACACGGCGACCGAAGTTGCTGAGGTAGGTCGTTGATGTGAATCGAGACCAGGTTAAGCTACAGCACTGTGCCTTGGAGTTAGCCACAAATGGAGAGACACCAGTCGATTAGATGACGCCTACTAGTGTCCTCCACTTTCTTCCAGCAAGTAACTCTCTGATCCACTGGTGCAATGAGCCACCAACTCCGCACATACTCAGCTTGTGCAGGAGGATCCCATGGCTCTCCTTGTCGAAGGTTTTACTAAAATATTTGTAACTCATTTTGAAGGATTACCGCTGGTTTCTGGTCTGCAACCACTCATGTTTCGTCACGAGCGGCCTAAAATCGAACTGTACTCTGAGGGCGCTCGATCGTTTTACTGAAACAGCCGTAGCAGACGCTTTCCTATGATTTTTTTGAGTCCCGTGGTCAAGATGTCAGACAAATCAACCGGGATGTGTCTAAGTTGCTGGGGTTACCACCCTTCGGAATCAGCTACATCATAGAGCGGTTCTAGTTCTTGACAGTTAACTTCTAGTCCGTGACCTGTTATACAAGTCACTCGCAGCAGGCAAGATGAGGAGCGATAGAGACTTGCGAATCGGTGGGTGCAGTTCGTGATACACTACAGGTATGGTGCCATTAAGATTGGCGAGTAGTTGATCCTACTCTTTAACACCACAATCCAGGCTGTGGGGTCTGGTGGTGGACACACATTTCGAACCTCTGCCTTTGCAAATACAATACTGAACTGCGCCATCCTTTTGGAAGCACGTTGAACGATGGAGGTTAGTGGTTGTACTTCTGAGCCCCCTAGCATTTGTAGGTCAGTTACAGACCTCAGGTGAGGCTTCATAGAAGTGGATTATCACTTCGAGGTCTTTGCGGCGGTTGCATACATTTCTTTGAACAATCGCTTTTGCTTTATTGCCAGTAATACAGCTTTTGTTCGTTCGCCGATAGAAAGTAAGGATTTGTTCCACAGTCCCTGACGTCGACCAGACAGTTTAGCAAACTCCTTTTCAAACGATTGTGTCTGGATTGATCCAACGTTCCGAAATTTCAGGGTACAACTGGAAAGGAAGAAGAGGTTAGTGTATCTTAACTGCCAGATGGATTTCCATAGATTTAGCTTGCAACAGAAAACACTACACTTAGCTTGCGGCTTGAGTCAGGTTATCATATTCAATTTCCAGTAGTTGTCAGGAGGCATAAGCAGGCCGAAAAATGGCAGAGGCAGTCCTATTTTAACTTTAGGTACTGAGTAATCGTGTGTTGCTACTGGTTATGAGCAGGTCCAGATACGCAGGAGTCGAGCGCTGCGCTATACTTGTCAGCTGGTATTTTTTGTGGTGCTACCTCACTTTCAAGCGCCAACTCCACGAACTGCGTTTCGATATCCCAATGTCCGGATTGTGTTGAATCTAGGGCCAACATATTCGAGGAAATTGAAGACAACCCTGTGTGGCAATTGGGGATAACTGATGTGGGCTCGAAGGTGCAGCAGTCAGTTGAAATGTCAGCTCGGGGTACTGTAATAAACTGCACCAACGAGCAGCTCTCAGTACCTAAGGTAGATCTGCGGCGAGCGGAGAAACCTGAGAACTGCTCTACCAGCACTGTGCGAACGAATGTAGGGACAGAGTGAGAGAACCGGACCGGTTCGAGGAGACGGAGAAGCCGTTTGAGCGGACCTCGTGCTAGAGTGTGGGAGAAGAGAGAGTTTGAACGCCACGCCCAGGACAGCTTGGCCTGCGGTTGCCCTACCGGAAGGGTACGATGAAATACAGGACTAAGGAGGTGGACGTTGAACCCCCAGCTGGGCTTCACTGCAGTGTTCTGTAACACATAAATATCACTTTATATTTTTATGTGTATTGATCTCCGCTTACGCCAACTACTCCACGAGAGGGCTTCGGTGAGCGCTCACAAGTCGCTCACACAGAAAAGACCGCATTGTAGAATGGAGAAACAAGCCACCGCGGGCTGTCGATAGTCTATTGCAGCGAAAGTCGAGTACCTACCAATGCTCAAATTCCTGATCGATTGCCTCGGAATTCAAGCAGATCACAGGGAGTTCCATTACGTCAGTTTATTCATTGGAACTGGAGCAGAACTACTAATCGTGATTGTGCTTACAACTGGAGACGTTGGTACTAGTTACACACAGGCCGCAGAATGAACCCCGGGTGCACCAGAAGTTTAAATAACCATTTAGTCCTGCTTCGGGAAGTATTAGAAACAATCAGAACACATACTGTAAAGAAGTTGTTTCCTATTTAACCAGCAGATCTTTTCAGTTCCAGGTCATTAGGCTTCCGTACTGTAGGAATAGGTTTCATATTCTACATCACCTCCCACCTACCGCCACTTCAAGGCGGCCCTGTGCTGCCGCGCTGCAGGCACTGATTTCGTCAAGACGCCTGACTTATAGCTCGTGAGGCTATCTCCACAGCATCTTCTACTGTCGCTCCCAGTCTTCAGAATTTACAATGCTACTAATTCATTGGTCGATGACAGGTGACCTTTGATTGATCATGTACTCAAGGCATGGCGACGTGTAGGCGAGTGTTTGTGCTATGTTCCTGCCACTGGATAGGATTCACCGGTCCCCAGTGCAAAGAAAGACTTGGAGATGGACGCTGGATGTTGGAAACTTGCTTGCATTGTGCGTTCTCTGCAAGGCCAACACGCTTGTGTTTCGAGAGACTAGTAACGGGGGTCTAGGTAACTACTAATCTAGAATCCATGTGAACGGGATTTGGGCACGCCTTTGTGTTCTTCACCACTAGACCCGGGTTGTTTTTCTCCGAAAAAGTGATGGTTCGCAGGTAAACAACGGCCGTGATAGCGACGATTCCATCCTCTTTTGTTTGTATATAAGGTCCTTTTTAGGGCCCAGTAGTTGGATCGATTCAAACGCCTCCCATTAATATCCAGCGACGCTGATGTTACGTAACTATATTCTACCCCGCTACGTGTCCTTGATCACGCTGAGAACGTAAGTATAATGGCGTACATGCCAAGATGCCATTCAAGTTTACCACTGAAGGTAGTCGCAGTTCAAGATTAATTGCTTGTTCTTGTCAGCATGGGAAGAAACGGGAGAGTATATTTGTCCAGGTCTGTGGCACGGCCAATATATGTCTCTTGTAACGAAGTACCCAGATAGAATTATACTACAGCTGTAGTATACCTAGCTTGAAGCAGATCCTAAAATGGCAACATGTCATGCCTCCATCGTTGCAAAGAAGGGGATTCGGACTGGAGGTACTGTTGAGGCTGTTACGGTTTATTTGGATAGCATGCTACTAGACAGAACTTATATAACAAGAGAGTAGTAGGGCAAGTTGAATGCTATAAGGAGAAGTTCACCAAATTTAGGCTCAGCCAGACAGACATCACACACCCGGAAAGTGCTGTACAGCCATTCCATCTTTAAATAGACGATGTGCTTTGCGTGCTGTAACTCGGCAACAAATAAATAGAGGTATCCGTCAATATCCTGAAAGTCGTAGCCATGTTATCTCTCTCGGATAAGTGCCCCTAAGTATGAAACCGCTGATGGAGGGCTGAGGTCCGAGTGACCTATTTGGCCAAGGCCCACCTCCCTTTGAACCCCGATCCGGTCTGAAATTGCGTATCACAATCTTTCCACGCAACCAGTGCTTCAAATGCTCACTGCGATGTGGCACCTATATGTTTCCTAAAACTTGTATGTCCCTCCTCTGTATGGCTGCATATGTGGCACTATAGCTTTTCCCAGTGAATGGTATCCGTAGCGTTTTCAAAATCATTTTGAAGGAAATCATGTCCCTCCACGCAGCACTCAAGATGATTCTCACTATTACCTAACCGCATCCGACTGGTGCGAACCCTCCTAGATGCAGACTGTTCATTGAGCGACCAATCCTAGATCAGTCAAGGGTATAACAGATGAGTACACCGACTAGGATGCCATTGGCTGATCTGGGATCGTTCCCACAAAGAACAGTATGTGTTTATATGCGTTCGGTTTGGTTAAGACCCTAAAGAGCTCAATGCGGACAAGAACTGCATACATTTCCTTAAGTTCCTTTGAGCGGACTGTTTGAATAGGATATTTTGGAATGAGTTTGGCATGCCTAGCAAAGTGATACGTGGTAATCTGCTTCCGGAATCGTAATCAAAGTCGAGCATTTCAGGTATCGAGCATTCTTAAGCAATCGCCAATGTATTCTGAAGTTTATCAATTCGAATCTTACAGATAGTCTTGACGTCATGGGCGAGTCAAATGGGGAACCATGTTCAAGGAACATATAAAACCATTACAGCGAATCCCATTTTGAAGCTATGAACGACAGCTCTGTGACATTCTTGTCTTCGCAGTGTAGTGTAAACCACCTGTGCGTTCATTTTTCCACTCAGGTTGTCAAAGATTTGCTCCCATTCTTGGCCGTTTTCATGGTGTCTCTGGTCAGTTTTGCTGTGCTCCAATGGGTGATCACCTTCAAAGACACTGCAAGCACTTCACATTCGATGAATATAAGAACATTATTTATGGCATTGCAAACGGCCTATTTCCAAATATTTGGCGAATACAGCCTCGACATGCTGACAGAAGGTGAGTGCCCGGATGAGACAAATTAGAAATTTTTGGCATAAATCATTTGGTGGGGGAATTTTCACTAACCGATCCCGAAGGAAGTGATACCGAGCCGCAATAGTCATATCTGCTTTCACCGACAGGATCATTTAAGCTAGCACCGACCCTTCAGAATGACTTTTCCCTATGCACTTATGATGATCTCTGCAGAAACTAACTCTTCAGGTGCATGGTACAAGGAAATGCCATAAGTAGTCAGAGCGGCTTACTAACACGTGCCGCATGTTGGTCAGTGGGAGGATGGCAACATTGAGGATAAATGTGCCAATAGTCCAGGTCAGTGGACTCCCCATGCTAATCACATGAGCGTATATGTAAATGTGTTGTGCCCATGCTTAGGCTGATGTTGCATTCTTGATGCTTCTTCACCGCAGTTGGGCTAAACCAACTTACACTTAAACTAGGTCTTTTTAAGCAGGATAAATTTCATTCCAACCAACTTACGTCATATGGTAATTTAGGGAAGAGTTATGCCACCGTATCTGTATGCATTATTGAATTTATTTTATTTCAGCTTGTCGTTTAAAGTGAATGGCTGTTGCTTGATATCCCCGGTGTGGCTGCGCTTGATGTACATGTTGACAAGGTGCCTACCTGTCTATTACCCACTACTTCGTTCATCTTGGCTCCAAACAGACGGTGGCTGCTGGAGAGGACGGGGTTCACGGTCCTTGTGGCCGTGCTAGACTCAAAGAGCGGTCCCATGCACTCAGTGTGGAGCGAACTACGGTCCAGCCACGGCCTTGTGTGCGCTTGATTCCCCAAATACAGCGTGCTTGTGTTTGCTGGGAAGGAGTGTAGGCCGGCTCCGTTGATGAAACGTGGATCCCATCCATATGTCTTCCGGTCTTATTCCCTCGGGTTTACACTGGATATGGGGTGTGTGACTGGAGCTGTGGATGGTTCAGCGCAAGCCGCCCATGGTCCTTCTGTAGATGCAGACTTCCTGTGGCTGGCCACAATGACAGGCAAATCGGAAACCGGATGCCGTCAACCATATGTAAATGTATGCCCCATGCTGAGGCTCATGCTGCATTCTTGATGTTTCTTCACCGCGGTTAGGCTCAACCAACTTACAATTAAACTCAGTCTTTTTAAACTGGATAAATTTCGTTCCAGTTTATTTTGTTTATTCTGCCTACCTGAAAAATCTTCTATTAACTTACACACGTTACTTACGCTAACAGCACTTATCTTCGATAATTTTTGCGTTTGTAGCCTTTCTTAGGTAACTGGGAGACATTTTGCGCTTATAGCGCCTTCGTCGCTAACCAACTTACTTCATATGCTAATTTAGCGAAGAGTTGTCATCGCACCTCTATACCTTAATCGATTTATTTTAGTTCATCTTATCGTTTCAAATGATTGCCTGTTGTTTGATATACCCACGTGGCTGTGCATGATGGGCATGTTGACAAGGTTCCTACCTGTCTATAACCCACTACCTCGTTCATACAGGCTCCAAGAGACAGCTGGTCATTTCTGGATGGGACGGGGTTCACGGTCCTTGTGGTCTTGCTAGGCTCGAAGAGTGGTTCCATGCATTCAGTGTGGAGCGGGCTACGGTCCAGCCACCGCCTTGTGTGCGCTTGATTCCCCAAATCCAACGTGCTTCTGTTTGCTTGTGAAGGAGTGTGGGCCGGCTCCGTTGATGAAACCTGGCTCCCATCCACATGCCTTCTGGTCTTAGTCCTTCGGGTTTACACTGGATATGGGGTGTGTGTTTGGAACTGTCGGTGGTGCAACGCAAGCCACCTCTGGTCCTTCTGTATGCGCAGATGTTCTGTGGCTGGCCACAATGACAAGCGAATCCGAAACCGGATGCCGCCAACCATACGTAAATCTTCTCACTCAAGACTTACTTTTTTCACTGCCTCATCTCCTCGAATTTATGGGTTATATCATGCGTTATAAATGACTTACTATATCGTCAGACCCTATTCTGACGTGCAATATTTTAACGGGAACAGTAATTGTATAATAGGACATCACGCGACAGACAGACTCGGAGGGAGCGAAAATTCTGGTTACTTTATTGTGCACTATACTGCGTGGCCAAGCTGAGCCAATGGACATCCATATTTATGTGATTTTTACGTTTTAGGGAAGAGCGGTGAATACTGTTGCCATTTGGAACACCGTGAGTGGGTCACGTTGGAGATATCGGTACGGTTTACCGTGCGTTTCTGTGGTCTTCAGTCTAGATTTGTACTCGACATGAAACAAGTCCTTAAAACTATTCCGCCATCGAAGGTGGAGCGACAAACGTAGCCAGATTGTGCACGTACCAGAACTGCCAAGTATTGATAGTCTTACCTCGCATGAGGCCTAACGTAAACGTGGAACAGTCGTAGAACAAGAATGGTAAAAATTCTTGAACCCGATCCTTAGGCGACTTTTTCTGATGATTTTGCCCTCTCTGAACAACTAACTCTGTATGCTCAATTCAAACCATCTTTCAATGCAAAGGACCCGTTAAAGATACTCCCCGAACCGATACTCCTGCACGCTCCGATAGTGTATGTTCTGCGCTTGATAGTATGAACTAGAGCGCTTTCTGTGTCGACGCCTCACAACTTATCCTTGCAGCGACTTTTGATTGTCTGTTGACTAGCGAAGGTTCCATACCTCAAGGTCCTGAACGCAAAACGTAAGGATTGACATGATCCTTCTCGTGATGTCGCGTACAAAAACCAGTAAGTGGTGTAGCATTGTGAAAAGCCAAACTGAACTGCTATCGAGTTGCACAGGATAGTTCGAACTCTCACATTCAGATACTGAAGGACAAAGTAGCATAGCCACTTATGCTATAGGCCAGCAACCTCCAGTGGAGGATTTGGTAGTTCGAACACTTAGCTGTGCTTAAAAAGTCCATAGTTACGTAGTCAATTCCTACACTATCACTGGCGGATTCAATCTAAATGGAACGGGGACTATCAGCAGATTTGTGAGTCAAGATGGATTCGGTTAGAATCCTAGCTCCGGCAACAGTACGATCATTCATCCTCCGAATCGTCCTGTCTGTTTTAGAGATGGTGGCTTCATTGAATTTTATATTCACCAGAAAAGGAAAGAGCGAGCTGTAGTTCACAATTTTGATACAGCTACAACCTTCGTACCAGGGGGGCGATGATTAAATCCTTCTGAATACTGAGGAGCACAAGCCGAAAAACCGCGAAAGCGGTTCAGCCAACATCTAGGCAGCAACTTACAATGTTTTTGGGCGAATGTCGCTTGCAACATGGTTGTGGCAGCGCAAGACGTCAGTCACTTTCGTAAACCAGAAGCAGCAGCAGCAGCAGCAGCAGCAGCAGCAGCAGCAGCAGCAGCAGCAGCAGCAGCAGCAGCAGCAGCAGCAGCAGCAGCAGCAGCAGCAGCAGCAGCAGCAGCAGCAGCAGCAGCAGCAGCAGCAGCAGCAGCAGCAGCAACAGCAGCAGCAGCAGCAGCAGCAGCAGCAGCAGCAGCAGCAGCAGCAGCAGCAACAGCAGCAGCAGCAGCAGCAGCAGCAGCAGCAGCAGCAGCAGCAGCAGCAGCAGCAGCAGCAGCAGCAGCAGCAGCAGCAGCAGCAGCAGCAGCCGCAGCAGCATCGGCAGCAAAGTGGGTCGCTGCTAATAACTACGCCACCTATGTGCAAATGGGAGGAGGCAATGGTGTGTCTTGAATTGTAGCAGTTACTTGTCGTGGAAAAGTGTTACCCCACCTCTCGTGGAGTTCACGGTTGCTGTTATACTGTGTAGAGCAGGAGTTCTGCGTAACTTAGCGATGAGTTCATGGGTGTACACGGAAAACAAATTGAAATTTGCACAGTTTCTACCGCCATTTCTGGTTATGGTTTTGCTTTAACGCTACGTTTTTCCTCTGCTCTCGTCCACTGACAGCTGTTGTACTACTTGTTTGGCTGCACTGTGAGACTGCGGCACTCTGACTACTCATTCACGCGCCCAGCCAACCGAAGGAATACAAAAGGATAAAATTCCTTAGACAGAGGTATATATACAGGATAGATTAACTCTATTTACTGATAAACGGAACATGCTAGTTAGGAGGTCAAAGTTACTCACTCTTCTGCGTCTGGTTTTCTGCCAGTGTGAGTGAATTCCGCACCACGGGTTTACCATATTGACGGAATAGTTCGATTCCTTTGACGCGGGCTGGTATTTGCTGGCCGATCAAATCTCACTCGATTCCCAAGTTCAGCGGCATGGTCAAATCTCGTAGCAGGCCCGCGCTGATGACTTTTGCATGTAGCGGACAGTCTACATTTACGCCTGCATGAGGTTTCGATTATTTCTGTCGGAGCAGCTCGATCTAATGTTTGCATGGAGCAATGTAGGTTTTCTAGGCGGCAATCCTCGAAGAGGATTTTAGACTTGCTCATAGAATCTTTTCACGACCATGCACATTCCCACCTTGCGCATTGTGAGCGATTCCAACTTATTTGGGCGTAGAGGTTTAGTATCTGAGGCATTTATCCAGATACGGAGGAACGGTTCAGTTCAGATTGACTAGCCAATCGCTTTAGTGTGGTCGGATGGAACGTTGCACGGTTTGTTGGTGTTACTATGTAGTGCATCTAGTTTGACATATTGATATCCCTATGATTAAACACTCATGAATCTTCAAGTAAGCGGAATAAGTTCGTGAATTATATTAGGTGTCGCACCAGTTGTCTTCTTTTCTTTGTCATCACAGAGGATATGGAATCGTGTACGAGCGACGGTATCAATTGTCGCGACGGGATGTCCGAATGGTTTTCCCCCATACTCTTGGCTGTGTTTGTCATTTTGACACAAGTGCTTCTGCTGAATCTCCTGATTGCCATGTTCGCGTAAGTTTAACATTCTAGTTGCTATGCCATGAAAAACAGATAAATAAACAAATAAATACTGTATTTCTAGACCAGGAGAAGCATTTGCATTTTGTGATTAGATCGAAAGCATAATGTAGTTAAAAATATCTGTACACTTTTCATATTCTCAGATAACAACCGTGTGAATAAGCTGAATCCCCCGAAGTTTGCTAACTATGGCAGTTTCGTTGCTGTAGATTTCCCGCACACTTACGGCTTTCCACTTCCCAAGGTGATACCCCACATGTCGCACCATAGCAAGTGATCATGGGTGGTGTGAAAGGTGGAAAATATTGATTAACAAGAGTGCGTAGCATTGACCAGGGATGCATTGCGAGAAAAGATGAGTTGTCCAGAATTTAGCAACGGAAACTCTAGCACATATTCGTTCGCTATACATTTTGATAGCCAAACTAGCTTACTCAAAATGGGTATGGCAACAGATGCCGCCTATCGCAAGCTGGTGGATGTCTCACCATTCAGACAGGTTTGTTTTTGGCACCTACAGAGTCAATGTGTAATTTCATCATGAGGTAGTAGCAAAGAAGAATACTAGACAACATGGAAATGTGCAACCACGTGATGCTTGGTCCATGTGATGAACGTATCGAATCATAGTAAACCAATGAAATCCTGGGACGAACCAGACGAACAATTAGAGGTGACTTTAGTGTATTCGATTATTGGGCACAGCAGCAGTTGTCCTTCTCCTCGGTTCGGCGGTTGGCGGAAGTTTGGCAGCGCTACTATGCAGTTTCCGCTGCTTTTCTAACTGAGTCAGAAAGAATATCGTCAGTTCAAATAGATTTTATTAACGAACTAAAATTATAAATCAAAGTAGGTCACACGTCATAGGTGCTCCTAATTCGGTGGACTTATCTTTGCTGAAAAACCTTTGTATCTGTAAGAACGATTTTGTGACACTCACCAGAATGCGGAGCATATAAAGCCAAGGCACTAAGTGAAGTGCAGAAAGATTTGGACCCAACCGTTATGCTCCGATATCCACTGACATTCCACCATAGAGACCGTAACAAGAAATGTGTCAAGAATGACTCCGAGGAAGCTTGGGTTAGTGCACGAAAGGAGAGATTAACATAGACCAAGAAAAGACTCAGTTGCACTACCATCATAGGACACATACAATATATGTCCCACTGTTATCAGCGCAGTGAGTGGAACAAATAAACACTGACAGTGAGGTGGACTACCATAATCTGTAGGTTTCAGGTACTGCAGTCAAACGCGAGTAACAAGAAAAGTTGTCTTAAGTGGTTACGATGAATTGCTGGAACATGTAGATAGTGGACAATTCTTCTACCGCCTGTAGCGACCCAAATAAGCAGAAAATGGAGAAATAAATGCTGAAATCGCGTTAAGCAGCTTTGATGAGCTATAAACTGTAAAAAGCGTGGAGAATTATTTGCTTTTTGCAACTATGCTTTGACGTTGCTTTTACGAACGATTTTTCAGCTAAATTATAAAGGGAATGGCTAGCCCCAGTATAGATTGATGGTCTGCGAGCCAGGCTGTTAGCTATAAGATCAAGTGTTCGGATTCTGGGTGCATCGTCTTCAGTACTAGCTGAGGCAGGTGCTAGAGCAGCGTCACACATACCGCAGACCGACAATAGCTCTGTTCCTCGATTTTAAGCGATCAATCGATTTTGTTCGCAATGCTTTTGCGAAAAGGTGCTCCCACGAAATATGTGAAAATTCTTCGTGCTCTATACTCAAACACTACAGGCCGCGACACCGTCTACGGTGTCCTATCCGATAGCTTTCCGACCACAAGTGGCGTTCGTTAGGGTTGTCCGACTTCCCATTTTTTCTTCAATTTCGTCGTGGATTCTATCACGGAGTGTTCCCTTGCGGAATCTGTCAATGTAGACGTTGAAGTGCTGCCTGGTGAAAGATTAGTTGATCTATATTTTGCGGACGATATCGTCTTGCTTTTCGACGGTGGGGCGGCACAAGCAACCATGAATAGCCTATCCAGAGTGGTCCAATTATTTGGTATACACTTCGCACCTTCAAAGTGCAAAGTGTTGCTGCAGGAGCCCCAGCCACTTGATGACCCCTTGATGCTTGCTAACGAGGAACCCTAGGTGGTTGATCATTTCACTTATCTTGGCAGCTGCATCAGCAATGATGGACGCATAGAAACTGACGTCAGCTCACGCATTGCAATAGCCAGAGCTACCTTCTTGAACCTGCGGCATCTTTGGCGACAGAAGGGCGTTTCCCTCCGTCTGAAAGGCCGAGTATACAAGGCCACAGTGAGGACCTTTCTGCTCTATGGTAGTGAAACTTGGCCCCTTCGGTCTGAAGATCTGAGGCGCCTTCAAGTCTTTGATCGTAGTTGTCTGCGAAGCATTGCTGGAGTGGGATGGCATCAGCGTGTCCGCAACGATGATGTGCACAGGCGAGTACTACGTGGTGATAATCATGCTAGCTCACTAGAACAACAGATAGCACTGAATAAGTTGCGTTGGCTCGGGCATATGCTACGTATGCCTGGTCACCGCTTACATAGGAGGGCCTTGTTTAGTCTGCCAGGTGTAGGGGGGCGCAAGGCTCGTGGTGGACAGAAGTTGACTTGGCAACGGGAAATGAAGTCACTGACGACCAAACTGGGTGCCATTGGTCCGTCTCGCCTTCCGGGCTTGAGTCCACGTGACTCACCTTGTGCTTGGCTCGAGACTTTACAGGACATGGCTCGCAGTAGACATCAGTGGCGCGTCTGCTGCCGTCTCCTAGTCAGACTGCCTGTTTAAAGTGTGTTTGGTGCTGAGTTATCTGCGGGGTAATGGCTGATTATGGCGCGTGGCAGTGAAAGCCGCAAGGAAGCTGTCTCGCCGATGCCGCCTTATCTTTGCACGATAGCCAGCTGTTTGTGACGGTATGTTGTTAACACAAGGTGTAGGCGCCTTGACCCTGAAAGTTTGCTTAAGGCACTGAGGTTTTCAGGTAAGGCCCCCCTTCTCTTCCTCTTCTTATTCTTTATTTCATTGGTCCTCATGGTTGTATGGCAGCGAAGCATCAGTTCAAATGACTGATGTATTGCTGTTGGTGATGGTTGATGATGATGGGGCGATACATATCCTGAAATTTGAACGAAGGTTACGACGGCTCCAGCGCAAGGATGAGATTCGAAATTGGAAATTTTATAATTGTTATACGACTGAATCTCCACAAAAAGGGTTCTCCGCATTCCAACGTCTTTCTTACATCTTATTCTAGGTTGGAAGAGAACAACAAGTCTTAAATGCGCGCAACATTGCTTACCGGATTTAGCGTGCTAGTTTTCTTCATTTCGTGCTCTTGAGACGTTAGCAAGTCAACACATTGCTTACCTGGTCTACAATAAGTATAGATATTCACACGGAATAACCACTTGATATCCCACACCTGCGATTTTATGTGGTTTCACGTGATGTTTGCTTTTCATTTACGGCATAGAATTGCTCATATTTTTTGCCGTTAAGCGGAAATCCGTGGTACAGCATTTTTTAAGTTTGAATGCCTGCCGTCTTCTGATCTACCGAGCGCATTCCATAGTTCGCGGGGTAGAATAATTCCCCGATACCAGCACTTGTAAGGTGCAATTCAATTACTGATCGTAAGCTGTGATTGGTGAGAGACATGCTGAGTACGAGGATACACCACACACTAAGATCGACAGGATCCAACGTGCATTTTTACTAGAGCTACAAGGGATGCGGAGGTGGTAAGCGATAACAGAGGCCAGAGTAGCAGCTTGATTCACCGAGGCAGAGTAAGTAGCAGAGTTACATAATCAGTAAAACAAATAGAAGTTCGGAAAGTACAATAAACCATAGAATCCAGTCGCAAAACACTGAAAGCAAAAATGTTTCATGTTCATTATAAAGTCTTAAAATTTTCATGAAACGATCCATGGACTGTACAAAACTTCCCTTGTGTGTGTCACCGTAGGTCAGTCGTTAGCATTCGAAGGCAGTTTAAACTACCGCCATGTAGGTTGGTTGATGAGGACACAATTCAAATTTTGCAATTGTGTACATTTGCTATTGAAAATAACAATAGGGATGAATATTATCAAACAAAGTTGTGCAAAGGGGTATGTCAAAAGTACGAACAAGGCGCCTTCAGAACTACAAATGAGAAATCAATTTGTAACGTTACCTTCTCGATAAAGTCAAGCAGCATTCAAGGTAGAACCTCTAGGTGTCCCGGTGATCGAACCTACAAGGTGACCACGATAGGCTAACAAATTTAGGAATTTATTGGATCTAGTAACGTATCCATTCAGTGATACAAAATGATCCCCACACACGAATATTGCAACTCCAACCCGAGGAGGGTTTGCACAATTAGGAAGTAATTGTGGAAAGGTCGGTCAAGGTAGGTTTGGATCCATCTTATTGTCGACCTTAACGTTAAAACAGTTTTGATGTCCGCACAGTTTCGCACCATAAGTATTTCTCTAACCGGAATTAACTTGGTAACACGCAATAAACCATCCACATGTGACTAACAGGTATAAACGACTGAGCTAAGGTGTGGAATATTTATTCTCCCGCCAGTTGGAATTCAACGGCCCACGTCGCCTTCGAAAACTTCGTCTATCTAGGTTGTAGCCGAATAGATTTACGACCAGTGGTTTCCCCTCTGGCTCTCGCTATCACTATTGAGTATCGTCCTCGACCCTCCCTGGTACTTGAATATACTACCAGCGAATTTTCGTCTGTTTATGTCTGGAACCTGAGTGGGATTAGAATAGCAATCGGAGTGTGCTTTGTCCATGCTCAACACAGACCAGTGTTGAGCAATGTCGGACAGTTACCTATTATCCACTCACTCCGTGGGTCCAGGAACCCACGAGAACTATGTCCGATAATCGAGTCAAACTCTCACGAACAATCATGCTCCCACCGCTGTTGCATTCCCTCTTTTGCGTAAACCAGAGCGAGATTTAGAGTCCCGTGAGATAATTATGCTTTTAACTGACTAAAACAACAAACTTCTCCACCTGCATACTTGCAATGATAGAAATTGTAACAGCGCAGCTTTAAGCTGCTAGCACGTAGCGGATAGTCATAATCTAGTTAAGTTGTTTCCCCTAAAATTTTGTGGACACATCGCATCATTCGCAAAATGTCACGGAACACACCGAACTGAGTGCGGAAGTGCATGAGTGATTTTACCAACACCACAGAGCACAGTAATGCTTCCATCCTGGTTGGACAATAGGTAAGCAGTTGGTTCTCTTTTCAGTCTCGACGAACCAGCTGTCAGTCTTCTGATCATTTAACATCGATCTATAGCATGCATCGATCAGTTTGTTAGGTCGTGTACGGTCTGGAGAAGAAGAGGTAAAAATGCTTTTTATCTAACAGATAAGTAGGATAGCTTATGAGCAATGCGACCTGCTCACTCAACTTCACCTTCCCTTTTAGGTCCACTTACGTGCGAATCGAAGCGGCTTCAACTGGCTACTGGGAGCTTCAGAGATATTATGTCATCTGCGAATTCTTCGAGCGATCTCCTATCCCTCCACCCCTGATTATCTTGTGGCACATATACCTTCTCTTCAGAATGCTGCTGCAAAAATGTCAGAGAAGAGCTGTACATCCCACTCACCCCTTTAGTAAGTTGGTTGAAACCAACCGTCAGCTGTTAGCGTATGTGTTCCTCTGGTAGCGTCACATGTTAGCGTATCACCTGGGATCATCTGTTAGCTTATGGTTTTCCATCCACACCTGAAGCCAGCGGTTATTGTGAAGTTAACAATACTATAGTGAAGCACACAACGAGTTCCGCTCTAACCGGTCTGCTATCTACCTTCGACTATGTGCAACACGTGCTTGGCAAGCGTAAAATCTCTCAGTCTGTATGCAAACATTGGCTTTATATATCTGGTTGGCGGCATCCGGTTTCGCATTTGCCTGTCACTGTGACAAGCGACAGGACGCCTGCGCATACAGAGGGACCATGGATGGCTTGCGCTGTACCATCCACAGCTCCAACCACACACCCCATATCTAGTGTAAACCCGAAGGAATAAGATCGGGAGGCATGTGGATGGCAGCCACGTTTCATCAACGGAGCCGGCCCACACTCCTTCACAGGCAAACACAAGCACACTGTATTTGGGAATCAAGCGCACATAATGCGGCGGCTGGACCGTAGTCCGCTCCACACTGAGTGCATGAATCCGCTCTTTGAGCCTAGCACGGCCACAAGAACCGTGCACCCCGTCCCCTCCAGCAACGACCAACTGTCTCCTGGAGCCAGTATGAACGAGGTAGTGGGTAATAGACAGGTAGGCACCTTGTCAACATGCACATCAAGCGCAGCCATATCTGGGATGTCAAACAACAGCCAGTCATTCGAAATGCCGATATCGAATAAAGTAAACGCATATGACGACATAAATACTCGCTAAATGAGCATATGGAAGAAATTGGTTAAATGTGAATACGCGATAAGTACAAAATTTCCGGAAGTTATTTTTAAAAATATCACGCGATAAAATTACGTAAGTTAACCACAATTTTCATGAGCGACGTGTATAAGTTGGGAGAAGATTATCAAGTGGGTAGAACAAAAATAAAATAAAATGTAATCAATTTTTTCCGCATTAACAAGACTTAGTTTAAGTGTAAGTTGGTTTAGCCCAACTGCGGTGAAGAAGCATTATGAATGCGACATCAGCCTCAGCATGGGGCACGAATATATATATATATATATATATATATATATATATATATATTATGCCGCGAACGAACGCGTATGAACACGTAATTTATTTGCCTTTATACACCTCTGCTACCAAAGTTCCTTGAGGGTATCGCTTGAATGTTTTCAAACCACTTGCATTTCAGCGCGGTAAATCTCCTACATTTTATATGGATAATGATCCAGAGGAGCTCCACAAGTAGAGTGAGCGATGTGCCACAGAGTTTCCTACAAGTGTTGAAAACTAAGCACATCATGTGAACAGTAGGCTTAAATGGAAATCGGCACTCACGATGAATCATAGTTCATCTTTCTTTGAATGCCTAATCTGTGAGTGGAAGGGAATGGCGGTTGACTGGACGGCCCAGCCATACGAATCAGCGTCGTGAGCGTCGAGGAATCAGCTAACCAGATTGAAATCGCAAACGTTAGAAAAGCACGATAGGCATTAGCAGTACGCCGGTATATCACACTGACGATTCACGTCCACACAACCACCATAGCTCGCGCATGTCCTGTGTATATGGGTAAGTACCCCCACTTAAACGGATTCGAACCTGTTACCTCAGGATTAAAAGGCAAGCGCATAGAGCTTTTGATCAGTGGCGTACCGGAAAGCTGCAGCACTGTTCCATGGGTATTCCTCAAACCAACCAGGAGAGTCGTACTCAAAACTGCAGCCGGTGTTCCGATGACCTTGAGCAGACTCTTCGAACTACCTTTGGAGTGTCGCATGGCCGTTCACTGTCTTGATATCGGGCCAAATCTTAGCATCATCTGCGAATAGTAAGAAGTCAGACTGGGGCTCAGTAGCAAGATCGTTGATGAACACTAGGAATAAACCTGGCCCCAATACCGATCCTTGGGGCACAATCCCTTGGACCATAGTTGTGTAGACGGACCTGCGGGCTCGCAGATACAGCTGGCATTGAATGGAGAAGTTGCTTATCCAACCTAGCACAGGGTCACCGATTCTAGCTCTTCAAACATTTTGCAGAAGAAGGTACTTATTGTGGCTAAGAAGAAAATCTTTATAGAACGACCGTATAAGGGTTACTCTAACACCATGAAGACAACCTAGCGCAAAATTTCTGCTGTTCCTAAGACTTAGTATTCTGACGAAGCTGTCGTTATTGACCGAACCAGAAAGTAAAGACAAGTTGTCGGTGTCAAAGCACGCTGCATTTACCAATACACTTCTGGCTGCGGAGAACGTTACATCAGCCGAACCGATAGGATGTTGAACTCCACCACCATCATCATCATCGTCATCATCAGGTGGAAAACAGCTCAGCTATTGTGCCGCAATACAAAATACAAGAACAAGAGAGGCACGCCGGCTGAGACCTTAGTAACGGATGGACATCGTTCCGGAGAGCTAACAGCTGGCTATCGTGCCGCAAAAATACAGTTATATTATGCCTAATGATTAAGATCATGATTAGTGAGGGGGGGCTAAGCGAGAGGGGGATGGACAAAGGAACGCACAACACAAAATTCATTGGGGCCGGCTCCTAGCCTTATCAGCAAATGTGTCCAACCAAACGTGTTCATCGTCCTTAGGATCTCATCCAGGCAGTCGGGATGCACCAACCGAGGCCAACTCCGAAAAGAGGGTTTTCATTTCTCACGACCAAATCATCGCTTAGACTCCCCTCTTCCTCTTCCAACCGCAAGCCGGCTGCGAAAACGAGCCACCTCGCGGAAGTCGGGGTGCTGGCATGCGCAACACATGGTCCTGCCATCGGACCCTGGTGCGTGGTATAATGATGCTGAGCGGTTCAGTCGCTCTTCCTGCACCAAAATAAGCGACGCCGAACCCGCTCATTGCTCATGCGGTGCTCCCACCAGACATGAGCTAAACTGCGAAGGCAGCGATGATCGAATGTGATCAGCCACATTAGGTCTGTCGACCTGATGGGCCAGGTTTCACAACAAAATGGGAGAGTAGAACAGAAGGTTGCGTTATAAACTCTGCCCTTCAGGGCGCCACAGGTGGCGGAGATTGGCAAAAACACCTCGAGCTTTTGTTATACGGTTTGTAATCTCATCTTCAATCCCTCGGCGTTAATATACTTGCCCAGGTACTTGCATCCCTGAACAACTTTTAGCTGATCACCACTAAGCGTCAGGGCAGGGGTAGGTCCCTGCGAACCTTAGGGAAGACCTTTGCATTTTGATGGAGCAAACCATGGCCCAAAACGATTGACAGCCAGTGCTAAGCGGTGTAGGACAGCCTGACGGGTTTGGGCGCAGTCATTTATGGGGGCAATGTCGTCCGCATACCCCAAGTCAAGAAGTCGTTCACCAGGAAGTAGCTCCACACCTTCTAGGTCTTATTCAGCGAATGCTGTTTCCATGACTTCATCAATAGCGAAGTTAAAGAGGAAAAGTGATAGCAGGCAACCTTGTCTCACACCGCTGGAGGTACTGAAGGGCAGCGATAGTTTGCCATAAACCCGCACTCTACCCGAACTATGCGCGTACAGCGCTTTGATAACGTTTACATATTTATCGGGCACACCTTTTCTGACTAGGCAGTCCCAAAGCGCACATTGATCCACCGAACCGAAGGCCCCATTGATGTCGAGAAACATGACAACGGTGGGTCGCCAATATAGATGCAAGTGCTCTAACAATTGAAGCAAAGTGAAGTTGTGGTCGATGCAGCCTCGATTTCGACGAAACCCGGCTTGCTCTTCGCTGATCTGGACTTCACAATCGCCAGTCAATTTGTGGAGAACGACAGATGCAAGCATTTTAGAGACTATTCAGATAAGAATGACAGTGAATGGCGAGGCATTGTGACTGGTGTTGCGTAAGTCTGCTTGCTCGCCTAAGTTTGTCAGTTTAATTGAAAGTCTGCAAAGTGATATGCGGGCGAGCGTGCAGCTGTGTGGGGAGACTTCGGATGATTTTGCAGTTGTCTCTGGTGTGAAGCAAGGCTGTGTAGTAGCCCATGCCCTGTTTAATCTATATCTTCATGCAATGATGTATTGTGCTTTTGATGCGGCTTGTGCTTGGAGTCTTCGTTGCAGCACAGTATTGATGGTACGTTGCTAAACATCTGTCGTTTCGGTGCGTGAACCTTAGTCTGTGAGACAACTATCCGTAACTCGCTATTCGCTGACGGCCGTGCGTTGCTTGCACACAGCACGGATGAGTTGCAGCACATGACTTGGGCTCTGGCTTCGACAGCGGCCAAATTCAGCATCACCATAAACACAAGAAAAACTGTCTGTTTATTTCAGCCTTCACCGGAGGTACAGTCCTCAATATTGCCACGAATCAGCATTGGTGCTGAAGTGTTGGAAACCACCTCCCGCTTCTGTTACCTTGGGAGCGTGATGTCGACTGACCAGCAGCTTCACAGTGAGCTGCGTATCCACATCTCGAAGGCAGCGGCAACATTCGGGAAGTTAGTGTACCCAGTGTAGAACAACCAGCAGCTTACGGTTAGCACCAAGCTGATGGTGTACAAATCCATGGTGCTGTCCGTTCCCCTATCCGGCACCGAAATGTGGTCGGTGTACCGGCGGGATGTTCGATATCACGAGCGGTGCCATCAACAGTGTCTGCGACGGATTCTGCGCATTGGTTGGTGCGAAAGCGGTGCGGACACGAAAGTGTTGCGCCGTAGTGGAATGTACGCAGTAGATTGTATACTTTTGCTAAAACCTGAGGTGGCTCTGTCATGTGTGGTGTATGGATTCGGCGCAGATACCGAGGCAGCTATCACATGGTCAGCTGAGTTTGGGAAGCGGCATGTTTGGAAACTGAAACATCGTTACCAGAATACGATCAAAATGAGCCTCTCACGTTCTAATCTTCATTGCAGGTGATGGGAATGGAAAGCGGTTGATTGGCGTGTATGACGCTATCTGATCACGAAGGCCGTTGCCGAGGTGCAAGAGATATCCTTGATGAATGCAGAGAAGTAGCAGTAATTGCGGAAGCGACAGGCACCGAGGGATTGTACTCCATCGACACCGATTGCATGATGCTGTAGCACATGCGGTGGCGTGCCTGAGTCAGGCAGGGCTAGTGAATTATGAGTGAGACCACTGGGGGCAACATCGAAATGAAGACGAGTCATGCTGAGAGCGTTGGCAGAACCGACGCAGCGTTTGTAGGTACGCTGCATTCGATTTACTAACCACCTGCTTACATACTGAGTCTCTTTATTTCAGATGATGGGTTTGCTATATCGTACTAATGCTTTTTATCTCATTTTAATGTCTACCGGATCTATCTTCTGTAAAGTTGCGCGCGTTCATTAAACCAATGTGGTCTAGTTTGATAACACTTTTGCGTTTGTGGCACTTTATTAAAATATATTTCCTGAGGTCTTGAACTGATCGAGGATTCGTTCGTAATCAGTTTATTTCATATGCTCCTTTATTGAAGCGTTATTTCATGGTATCTGTCTGCATTATTCGATTTATTTATTTGATCTCGTTGTCGCAAGTGCTTGGCTGTTGCTTTATATCCCCGGTGAGACTGCGTTTGGTGTGCATGTTGACAAGGTGCCTACCTGTCTATTACCCACTACCTCGTTCATACTGGCTCCAGGAAACTGTTGGTCGTTACTGGAGGGGACGGGGTGCACGGTTCTTGTGGCCGTGCTAAGCTCGAAGAGTGCTTCCATGCACTCAGTGTGGATCGTACTACGGTCCAGCCGCCGCATTGTGTGCGCTTGATTCCCCAAATACAGTGTGCTTGTGTTTGCCTGTGAAGGAGTGTGGGCGGGCTCCGTTGTTGAAACGTGGCTGCCATCCACATGCCTTCCGGTCTTATTCCTTCGGGTTTACACTGGATATGGGTTATGTGGTTGGATCTGTGGGTGGTGCAGCGCAAGCCGCCCATGGTCTCTCTGTAGGCGCAGGTATTCTGTGGCTGGCCACAATGACATGCAAATCCGAAACCGGATGCCTCCAGTCATATATATATATATATATATATATATATATATATATATATATATATATATATATATATGTATTGTTGGCAACGTCGGCCCATTTTGTTTGGCGGACTGATTTTGCTAAGTTGATCAACTACCTCGTGAAGAAGAGTCTGTTACAGTGGTTTGAGTCAAGGTATCTTCTGATGCAATCACAGCATGATTTCATGCCAAGTCGTTCATAAATACGAAGCTGCTGGTGATCAGGCAGGTGCAGTCTGTCGACGTGATGTACATCGACTTTAGTAAAGCGTTTCATTAGGTGAACCCAGATGTCCTCCTTCCCTAGTTGAGAATCTGCAGCTGTTGTAGTTCACTACACCAGTAGGTCAGGGAGTCAGTTGCTGTGCGAAAGTGGAAGGTACTGATCGACGTTCGTCTAAGCGACTGGTGTCCCTGTAGTAGTGGAGTAACCCTGAAACACATCAATCAATTAAACCAGCTTTCTCGGTCGGCTTGTACCTTGTTTGCAAATGACCTGAGGATGTGGAAAGTGATTATTACCCCGACTATTGCGGCCTACTTCAGGAAGATGTCAACCGCATCCCCATGGGATATACAGAACCTCGCGTCCCTGTCAACTGATGCAAGCCAGTATTCATGAGCCAGGTTAAGGTTGGTGACGACCGAGCCTACACTCTCGACCGCCAATCGTTAGCTTCCGTGCTCTTTTTGTATGATCTATGTGTACTCTCACGCAGCGATTTTAAGTCCACGTAAAGATGTACGGAACATTTCGTAGTAGATTATGCATACTCAGAGCTCTCAATCGCAGCTTCTATAAATAAATAAATAAACTTTTATTTTCGAGAATGCGAGGCACACCTTTACAGGCATGATCATGTTTAGCTAACATAGTGTGCTCAAAAATGTACAAAAAGTACATGTTTGGCATAACAGTGCATGTAAGTGTATGGGTGTATATACGTATGAATTTGTGCATGAATGTAGCTTGTGTTTTTGAATGTGCCGCAGCATTTTTGACTGTTTGTTATCGTCAGGAATGTGAGAATAGGCGATGTCCGTGGCTTGGATAGCATTTTACGGATATTCACTAGCCAGTGACTTTAATTTGTGGCAAGTCACATCCGCCACGTCGCAGTGTTGATAAGCAGACTTTTGTGGCTTTTTATAGGGAGAAGGCTAGCCCGGCGAAAATCCACCACGTCCTGGATCTGATCTTAAGAGGTCACCACCCGGATCTTCTTTTACATCGTAACACCAATGCCAGAGTACTACTCGCAAGCCTAACGACTCACTGCCTGAGGCTAAGTACAGAAGATCGAACGGGTCCTACATGCTATCAGGTTTATCCTAGTTTGTTGGGCATATCGTACAATGTAAGGTGCGAAAGACTTGGATCTTGACAGTCGATCGCATCATGACCTGCTGCGTTCTATATCTAGGTGAGTTCTGAATACTGAGGCCATCGCCCCACTTGCGAACGCCATGAAGCACACACCGACACCGGTCGGGGCTGGTTGTGTCGGAGCTAAAGCGAGTTCCTTTAGTTGCAGTGCTTTGAACAGCGAATGGTCAGTGTCTAAAACTGTTTGCCAAATCATACTAATGGAATCAAACTCAGTGCGTCAGTTCAAACGACTGTTGGATGTTCCTTTCTCGTGTCAAATTCCGAGAACGAATACCCGCAGACAATGTTATCTCACATTAGTGGATCCAAATATACTGAGTTTTACGCTTTTACAATATCACGTGAGATCTTGGTATACGATAAGAGCGTTGTGGGGTCACATTTGGTTTTTATTTATTATACCTTATTTTTGACCATATTTCGACGGAGTGGTATAGAGTTAAATTTCTGCTCACTTCCATGATGCAGTGTTCCGTATGTGAAGAGATGGAAATCTTGACACATGCCCTCTGTTTGCGTTTGTATTACTTCAGAGAAGTCGTTTCACGACTGGCCTTCACGAGAACGACAGTTAGTACACTGGGAACGTCTGAGATTCTTGGATTATCAGCGCTACGTGCTGCAGGGTAGGAAAAGACGGCGCGAACGTCCGAAACCTGTGCTAGTCCGGACAACCCTGATGACAGGGCCGATTCCGGCCATGAATGTACCGACGGCTGAAGCGTTTGAAAATTTTCAGCAAGTTACCACGGAAAACATGCGTCAAATCATACAACACACGAATCGCATTGATGCGCTTGATCACAAAGTGGGCCATATACTGAAGCTACTTAAACTTATCCAAACAAAGGTGGGTGCATAATTCTTTTTCCAAGACTTTCCACCTTGATGGGTGCTACACCTTCCGTGACATTTCTGCCCGATCTCGGAAGGTTTCTTGGCAATTACATTATACATACTCGAGTTGAGAGGAAAAAATGAGACATCACATTTCTGTTTAAACAGTAATGTTTTCTTACATTGTCCATACTATCTAACCTCACCTTGTGGTATCCCGTTTTCGTCGATGCAAAGTTGGTTGGCTGGCAAATACCGCGGCAACATACATGAGATAGACCAGGAAGACATCATAGGCTGCACATGAAATATCTACTGGTATTTATGCAACCTTTTCCCTTTATATTCTTCCAAATGGCAAAAAAGAACATTTCTAGAGGATAAGCTGAATCCAGATACTTTGTGTATTCTCTTCATCCTTTTACATTGATTTCCTTGGGTTGCGTCTCGCGACAAGGAAGCTGCAACGTCACTGGTGAAACGATGACGGTGGCCCAACTGTGAGGAAACTGTTCAGAAGGGATTCAGTGTAGGTTTAAATCACTGCGCTGTCTAGAGGGGACATCAACCTGGAATAGAAGGGAAAAAATTGAAAATTTAATCGGAGTACCTGTAGTTCGGGTTGGTTGATGAGGTTTTGGTGTGTTCTCTGAGCTTAGCAATTTCGTTGCAAAGCCTTCAACAGCAGTCGAGATGGTTACGTCAGCGTTGCACTGTATAGTGGGCAATTGTGATGGAGTTGAAGCGGTTGGCAGCTGGTCGAAAGTTACCGGGGTCTGAGCTAGTTGTTAAGACTTTAGGATCGCATCCACCCTTATATGGGTAGAATCATGATGAGCCAGGTTACCGAGGTACCTAGTTCCAAACAGCAGTAAGACTGCGGCCTGACAGACGCACGTTACTTGTATGATAGAAAATTTTGGATGCACCATTCGGCAGGTGCACTACTTGTTTGCTTTACTCGGTCAATCAAATTGGACGACTGCACATGGATGTACTTGTTAAGCAATCATCTACGTATGCTTACACAGTTGCTGGTTACGAACTTTCGTGTTTCTGTCCTCAGTCTGCTACTGTTCGTGCCCCGCAGATTCTAGCTTTGGATTTCTTGTTGGTCATCTCTGCTGGTACCCTTTTGACTGTTGAAGTCTCTCGGTTTTACCAACAACAAAAAACAACAAAAAAAATGTATGTTCGGCGCATAGCCGACCAGAGTTCGTCCCAGCCCCAATAGGGCGAAACGGCCGTCTGGTGCTTTTCCGGATAGCTGGTCGACATATCTGAATTGTCGGCTGATTGCGACAAACAAAAATACCTAAGAATAGTGTTTTTAGTCAACTGATTTTATACTAATCAAAAAGTTACAGATTAAACGTGCTTTAGATTAACCGTTGCCACAGATAGTGACATTTATTCAGCGGTCGTTGATGTATAGCCACTAAAACTACAAGTGGAAGGCTGAGGTCAATCTTGTTTTGTTGCTGCTTCTCCTGACCGTGGATATGTTTATCAAAGCCACTTAAATTCACCTACCGCTTTAAATTACTCAACAATGCATCTTTTGACTTTACTCTTCTCTACAGTTATATGACATCGAGCGGTTAAGTAAGTTCCCATTTATCGGGTTAACAATTATCGTGTGTAATATTAGGAATGTTTGGGTCCACCTGCTGTCACAGTAGGTTGCTATAGCGAAGTCTATCAGTTTGCATGGTAAGAGTAGACCTAACTCATGAATCAGCGTTTCGCGTTGTTTTTCAGTTGCAAACCTTAGCCTTTCTAAACAAATCGCCAACAACAGAACATTGCCAGAAATTTTCAGAATACTGGTGGCTCGGGTTAACAGTTCTGTTGTTCATCCACTCAGCGAGCTTGGTAATTTAGTTGCAGATGTTTCTTCACTAATTGTGGCGATATCGGCAGTGCGGATTCGGTTGTCGCCTGATGGCAAAAATAGTACGCCACCAGTACTTGTGCCGGCTCCTATATGGATGATATTGATTACACTTCACTCTGAATACCTGTACCCTGATGCACGCAGTGGGATCAGATGGACTCTGCTGGACTGCAAAAACACCGTTTCGAGATGGGGGAAATTCCCCCAGCTCCACTGGCTTACGAAGTGTAGTCACCTCGATTGGTGGAGGAGCCTTAACTACATACCTGAACTTAGAGACCAAATAAGTAACCGGGACATCCTTTGACCTTGAAAAAATGCAAAACTTTTGTTTACAAACTTACTGTGGTGCGCTAAGGATGCCTATATACCTTGTTTGATTAGATGTACAGTGATAGGTGACAGCTGTTTTCAGGTTTGTTTATCGCTGTCGCCATTGCAACGAGTAGCAATGTCACCCTTTCTACACATCGAATATCATGGTGAACACTGACGAAGCGAAACTGAAGTGTGTAAAGGAGCCCCAGGTGCTTCAGGGTTCTGTTTCCTCCTTTGCGAGACGCATACCGAAGATGCGTGAAAAAATCCGCATGCAAGCACCCGGGAGTCATGACAGTGCCTATAGCCTGTGGGCACACCATATACTGGCAGGGAATGTGCTCTTTATGCGAGCATTTGACTCGCGCGCGTTTGCGAACCATTCATTCACGCAGAACTTGGAGAAGCTTGCGTAACATGTGCAAGTATGGTGATTACTGGGTTCTCACCTTATGTGATTATCACTGTCAAAAATACTGTGAAATCCTGATGTAATGCTGGGAGATGTCGTCCCAGTTTGCACCGCATGCGGCCAACCCAGCCCAGTTATGTGAAGTTGGACATAAAGCATGCGCCTGTTAACAGCTGGGCATTTCATTGCATTTCAATGGCAGTTGTTAATATGGCGCTTAGCGCAGAATGCACAAAATACCTTATTTTGCAATGTGATGCCGAGCACAGGTGGGTCAATACTCGTTGAGTAAACTCGCGGTAAAATTATTCCAACTTGGTATGTGAACTGATATTGTAGCGAGAACGACGCGGTGGGGGGGGGGTTAGAACGTGTATTACCGCAACAACGTGCAACTGACAACTCACAAACCTGTAAAGATTTGGACTGTGTTTCCTTCCCATGATGCAAAGCGGATGAGGATTTGTGTGATAGGCCATTCCAGGTACCCTCTAGGTTGAGCTTCGAGATACCTCCACCATCTTTCCATCCCGTTTCTCTGCTTCTCTGCATCCGTTGCTGACCGGTCTTCAGTCGTTCGTACGCTCGGGACTTGCTGTGCCGTTGCTACTTCACTCGATCCCCGTTCACTCATATGGGCTTCGCTAGCGGTGTATTTGTCTGATTCATTGCGTGCTCGACAAACTCCTTCTCAATTGTTCTGGGCCCCGGCTCGTTACCAGATGGCGCCCGTGATCCGCTGTCGGCTCGATTAGCAACGCTCGCAGAGCCTTGTCTCTTCTCATCCATTGCTTCCGTTGTTACTTCTCTACAATCCTGTTTTCGTTGTCGTTCCGATTCACGAGTAGTCCTTGGTTTCCGCTGCGCTATAATATGAATGAACCAGATAGGTGGGTCAGGTAAGGATTCCATTTACTCCCAATGTGTCACAACAACTGCACTGACATCTGCTTATTCAATATGTTGAATTATCTGAAGGAGTAGTGACGAAGACTTCTAAAGCACAAAGTGTAACCGACTTCTAAGGTAGTGCCTGGTGTTGTGTCACAGAATTATCGATACACAGAAATGGTTTCGTCAACGAAGTAATGAGTGGTATCAGTCGGATTACCTCGTAGTTTGGAGTTAACTGAGTTTACGAATCTCGGCCGCACGATTCCAAAGTGGATAAATTGTTTGAGCTAAGGAAGCACCTACGTTTGGATGGTCCGAATTACACATGTCTCCTGATAGACGGTTACAACCACGTCGCCCTATAAAAGAGAGAATTTTCATTTTCTCATAAGGTTTTAACGAGAGTTCCAATTTTCAAGCGAACACTGATGCTGCCTTGAAGTCACCAAGTTGATTCCAAATGGGCATTTTCGCCACGCACTCGACCTCTTGAGAACGGTATCCCTTAGTTACTTTTAGGTACGACATCATGCGGAGGGAGCCCTGCAAACATGCTGTGGGCTTTGACTATCTCAAATCTAATGTGATTTAATGAATTAGAGATTTTAGCTGTGTGGAACAAGGGTGGAACTTCAAAAACAAACAACTAAATAAATAAACATTTGGTTATTGAATTCAGTCGAAGTACGCACTTATGAGGTATGATCAAAATTTTACAAACAGTTATGTCGAAACAGATACGCTTGCCGTTGTATGCAATGTAAAGATTGGTGGAAGGTACCAGATGATCCATCAGCTAATAAGCAAGACTACTGTAAGGAACAAAATTGTTGATGTAACGATCAGCGTATATTCATGTGTGTATGTGTGTGTAATGTAGAGATCAACAGTAGAAACGAATACAGTGAAGTGGGGAAGAAATGCCCTTCATTTATTCATTATGAACGTTAGCTGGAGGTGTGTAACAACACAGCTACTCTGCCACAACACATAAAAGCAAAAAAGGAATAAATGCAACAGATGCAAGCTAGCTGAGCTATTGGTAACGGATGCGCATTGTTCCGGTAAGCTACCAGCCGGCTACTATGCAGCAACAAGTTTGTAACACAAAAATATATTAGGCTAAATAGTGAGCTCGTGGTTGCAGAGGGAGGTTAATGGGGATGGGGTGGGACAAAAAAAACTCAAAGCACGAACGCCATTGTGGTCGGATCCTAGCCATATCAACAAGTGTATCCAGCCAAACGTCTTCATCCAGGGAGTCGAGACGCCCAATCAAGGTCAGCTTCAAAATGAGGGGCTTCATTGCTCTCGACCAAGTCATCGCTTGGTCACCCCTCCCTCTTTTCCATCCACATCCCCGGCGCGCAATAAACGCACGTCGCAGGAGTCCGTGGGCTGGCATTCGTAACACGTGGTCTAGCCATCAGAGCCCGGTGCGTGTAATAACGGTGCTGAGTTGTTAATTTCCTTTTCCTGTGCCGTAAACAAGGCGTCTAACACCTTCGTTGCTGACTCTGTGTTCTCACCAGATGTGAGCTAAGTGGCGAAGGCACCGGTAGTTCAACGTAACTATTCACTATATGTCAGTTGATCTAAGAGGTCAGGTTTCAGATCAGTGCAGTAAGGTCGAACGTACAGATGCATCGTACACTACTTTTCAGGGCGAGAGTGTTGTCGTGCCGGCGCAATAGGTGGTGAAGATTAACAAAAGCACCTCGAGCTTTTGATATACGGTTCTTGATCGCATATTTAATCCCAAGGGCGCTGACCCAAATTCCCAGGTAGTTGAATTTCTGAACGACTTTTAGCTGATCCCAAACAAAGTCAGCGAAGGTGGCGGTCCAGGTCAATCCTGGAGGAACGCTTTGCACTTCGAGGATGCGAAGGTAAGTCCGAAATGACCGACAGCCAGTGCTAATCTGTCTAGTGCCGTTTGGCACGTTTATGAGCTGTCACAGATTAAAGCAATATCGTCAGCATACTACAAGTCAAGAAGTCGTTCTCTTAGGAGCAGATCTACACCTAAGTCGGATCCTGTGACCTCCATCATCATGACTTCGTCAATAGCAGTGTTGAAGAGGAAAGGTGACTGCAGGCATCCTTGTCTCACACCGCTGGAAAGTTTGAAGGGCGGCGACAACTGGACGTAAGCCCTCACTCTACCCTAGCTAAGTGTGTATAATGCTCGGGTAATATTTACATATTTCTCAAGTACACCTTTCCTGAGTAGAAAGTTTCAAAGTGCACATCTATCCACCGAATCGAATGTACCTTTAATATCTAAGAACACGATAATGGTGGGCCGTCAATATTTGTGACAGTGCTTCAACAGCCGACGCAAGATGATGTGGTCAATGCAGCCAAGACCTCCACGAAACCCGTCTTGCTTTTCACGAATCTGGCTTTCACGATCGTCAGTCAATTTGTGAATGATGACAGGGGCAAGTAGTTTGGAGGCAATGGGAAGCAGACTGATTCCTACGTGGTTGACGCATTCCCATCGTGAGCCTTCCTTGAAAATTGGGTCTATGATGGAGCTGCTGCAGTCGGCTGGGACAAGTTCAAGCCCACGTAGTTTCACTAGTAACTCGTGTAAATCATTCACAAGAGCAGGTTCCCCGAATTTGAAGAGGTCTGGAGTAAGAACCTCTGGTCCCATGGCTCTGTCCAACTTCAACAGTCCGATCTCAAGTTAGACATCGGAGTCCGTGGGATCTAAAAGGACAGCCTAGGGAGCGGGGCGTTTAGTAGTCGGCGAGAAACCTAACAATTATGACCGCTTAAAATGCCCTTCAAAGGACTTTGTCCAACGCTCCCAACGTTTTAAGAAGTGCTGGATAGGCTGTCCGCTCTCGTTACGCATAGTTTCACTAACACCAGGTCTCCCGCTGCCTTTTTCCGTATCAGCCGAAATAACGTACGACGATTACCATGGGCAACGGCCGTTTCCAACTCTGATGCACGATGAGACCACTAGGATTGGCGGTCTCTCTTCAGGCTAGCACGGAGTTTTGCCCGGAGGTTCCTGCGAGTCTCGCAGTGCACGCTTCCATCAGGAATGTGCCAGCGAGCATCGATAAA